GGTTAGCAAAAAGACAAACCTTACTCAGAGCGACAAAAAACAGGAAATTATGGAGAGACACAATCATCTTCATCCTGATGGTACAAAGAACACAGAAGAAATACTAGGCTCTGTATTTATTGATCATCGACCTTCGTACAGTAGACACTTTGTTGATTTCATGTGACATCAGGAGACTGGCAAGCATATATTTTGTATTAAAGGTTTGCTTTCTAAGTATATTTTAATCCCAAAAAAAAGATACGTGGTAGTTCATGACTCATGTAGATTTCTATCTTAAAATTATTTGCATCTTATTTTTTGAGTTCCTAATAGAATTCTTAGAGAATTTAATCTGTAAGCATTAAATTATGGAACTTTCTCCAGGAAAAAAATTTTGTATATATTGGAGGAAGTGTTTCTATATATGGAATTTTTTTTTTTTTTTTCACAAAGTGGGTGCTCTCCTTAATGAGCACTGAATGTTTGTAATGGTCTTTTTGCCTGCAAAAAAAAAGAAAACTGTGTCAAAAGGATTGTTATTCCCTTGACACTGCTATTATTGTATACACATTTGACTCCCTTGGCATTATTTATTTATTTTTAAAAAGTGATGATTAGAATTTTAATAAAATCCAAACATGAAATTGTACATTTTCTTTATTCTTTTTCTTTTTGGTTCCAATCCTGGTGGGAATGACTTCAAAACACTTTCCCTCTCCCCAATTTATAGGCAGAAGCACATAAATGCATGCTGGGAGTTATTCTTAGCCAATACAATAGGCCAGTTCTCAGCTTCATCTGAGTCAGTCCCAGTCTGTCTTTTTATATAAAGTCACAGTCTGTTCACATATTTTTATAATTTTGTGAATAAGTGTATACAGTAACAAGAATGTCAAGGGAATAACTGTCCTTTTGAGACACCCATTATTTTTTTTGCAGGCACAAAGCTTAAACATTGCTGATGTTTCATATAAACTAACGTTAATAACTAAAGTAACATCATTGACCTTAAAAGTAAGAAAATCCAAGAGGAAAGGAGATGAGGTAAAAAAAAAAAAAAAAAAGAAACTAAAACTTTTTAACAAAATATCAGATTTGGGGATTGTTTAAAAAAAAAAAAATAAATAAAAAATCTCATTTTAAAAATTCTAAATTATCTCCTAATGATGAAAATAATCACCTGCACTTTATAGATGCTTTTTTTTTTTTTTTTTTTCCTTTACTCAATTGTAAAAGATCACATAGCAAATTTCCTGACATATAACACTCGTTCTCCCACACCTTACTTCAAAAATCCCTATAGAAAGGTTATGGGTTGATATGACCGGTACCCGTACACTACTGTTTACAAGAATGACCCAGAAAGGAGCCCAGAATAGAATGTTACATATATCCTATGGTGGAAAACCTGGGACATTTATTTTTGTAGATTTTTAAAGGCCAAAATGATTAAATTTATTCTGAGAAAGAATGATAAAAATATGTGACCATGTTTCTCCACTTAAGGTAATGGTTCATTTTAGATGACCATATTTCTGATTAGTAATCAATGCAGTCTTTCACTGTATGGAGTTAGTTCGATTGCTTAACATTTCTGTTTCTGACAGAAATGGTACAGAATAAATCAAGAATAACTGGTTTCAGCTTAACTTAGTATGGTATGAAGCAAAATTGGATGAAAAGATTGTGTTGTACTAATCTTCCAAGTAGATACCTATTGCCTACCATAAAAATTGCTAATTTGGGTGAAAAATGCTTTTAGGTGGAATTGAACATCTGCCATAGACATACTCTTGACATTTACAAATCTTTTTGATATGTTATGTATTTGTTTCATTGTTAGTTACTTTGATAGGTCATCTAATTGGGTGGAAATTGAAGGAAAATGATGGGAGATATCCTTGAAAATCAATTTAATCTTTGTTTTGAGTAGTACCAATAAGAAATGCACACCTGCTTCAGCCATGAGACAGGTGCAAATGCATTAGCAATTTCTTCTTGGGTTAATAAATTGATTTGTACTATAAATATTGCTTTGGTAAGAGGAAGGAACTTGTGATGTTTAGTATAATAGAGATAATAACAACAAATCTGCTGCTTCAAATGTAATTCAGTGGATAACAGCCATATCGCATTGAAACACTAGTTCTCATACAATCACCAAAGTTAAGCAATGTCCAGCCTGGTCAGTACCTAGATGGGTGACTGTTTAGAAATATCATTGAAACACTGGTTCTTGTACAGTCACCATAGTTAAGCAATGTCAGTATGTTGTCGGTCATTAGTGTGAAAGTGAATGCAACAGTTGAAGTTGGAATTTGAACTCGTCTTTTAGATTCCCAAATCAACACTGACAGAATGTTACATGAGCAACTCTGTACAAGCCATTTGCTGCTGTTGCTCTTTACTGTTGATTTACTAAAGAAAGCAACCTTTTGGTTTGCTGCTGTAAAACAAACTGAATTTTACTGCCACTTTCATCACTGTATGTAGTGATGTCACTAAGTGGTTGTCACATGACCCATGTGATTTACCTCCACCAAAGAGAGATGGTATTTATCAATTCACCCACAGGAATTGAATGTGTAAAACAAGGCCTTTTTAATGTGGGTATGTCCGAGCCTGTAGGCCCAGCCAAAAATAAAACCCATCTAAATTCAAGCCGGCTAGTTCAAATCAACCTCCCCGAATCTACCTTCGGGGCGGAGCTTGTCTGGGTCACTGCAAGCAGAGAGTTCGTCTGCTCGGCAGCTCACCCAGATACTACACTTTGATCCTAGCCACCGGGCCGAGCGGGTATTCTTTTTTGAGATACCAAAGAGAGATAATCGCCTTCTGTATCACTACAAGCTTATGAATAGCAATTGTTTATTTCCAGCTTGTAGATTGGCACAAATGTATTGGAAAGTAAGAGTTAACTTGTATGACACACATGATGAGTATATCAAGAGTAATCGCAGTCAAGACAGTTACTTATTCTTTAATTTTTTTAAATTTGTTAATGCAATAACGAGGAACCTCCAGAATCCTTAATTTATCTGTCAGCACAAGCATTGGTGTTCATCTTGGGAATCCAAAAGTTGTGTTCCTTTAAATAAGAAATCACTGGATATATTAATACTGTAAAGCCCCATTTAGAGAGCAGAAAACAGGATTACAATTTGTTCAGCATTAAAATCAATTTCTTCATTATTACCCGTATTTAATAGGTTAATTTGCCTGATTTTCAGCAACTGATAGTTTGTCATCTCTGAATCCAGATAGAATTATAAGTGCATTGTACATTTGTAGGCCTATGGGAAGATGGCAGAATTCTTATTTTGGATAACAATTTGGTCCATTCTTGAGTTGAACTGCTCTTTAATAATAATGGGTATAGAGTGTAATCACCAAAGCTATAGGAGATACTTGAGTAATGGATTACAGCTCAGATTGTGGAACTGAAGAGCAGAATTTGAACTCTACTCTTATATTGCATACACTTATGTGCTAATAGCCTTGGGAAAGGTATAAAACTATCTCTTCTCCCCCACAGCTATGGATAAATAGCAGGGCAGACTGAGTTTTAAAGCCTTGGGTAGCAACCAGTCTAGAAGAAGAAAAACTTTGACTTCAAAACTGTCTATAGCCTTGTTGAAGCACATACTATGCAAGTAAGGAAAGGACAGTTCGCATTAACTCAATGATCCTGACTATGGTTGATATGTTCCTTATCTATTTACGAGACCAAAGAATACTGCAGTCTATGAAGACTAAATATCACACATTTTTCATAGAGTGAATGCATTGTGATAGAAAATAAATGAATAAAGAAATCAAGAAGAGCAAAATTTTACCATCTTACAAAATACACATCCATTCAGAATTGCAAGTTTATAAAGTCATATTTCTACCAACCAAACAGAAACCATCCCAAGCAGAATATAAACATCACATTCTAGCAAGTGAATCAGAAACAAGATGTGTTCCCAACCAGTCTATAAGGTCTTTGATTCTGGACCAATCAGAAGCTAAGCCAAAAATGACAAAAACAAAGAATACTGCAGTCAATGCGGACTAAATATTACTTGCTTTACATGAAGCATATCTTAAATATGGTAAAATCTAGTAAGTCTGCTGAGAAATAAAAAAAAATTTAAAAAATTAATTTGAGAAATAATTATTTCTCAAATTATTTTTTGTTTCTAACCATCCTAATATTTTAAGCATTTGAAATATATCAGTTAGATTACTAAATTATCTGACTTTGGGTAATTTGACATGGTTTTGGAAGTGAGATTGCCAGAAAATTAATGAATTATTTGTGATAAGACATTTCAGTAAATTTGTTTTAATTTCTTTGTGATGTCAATAAATACTCGTTGCCACTTTTGTAATGTCAACGAATATTCGTCATTTTTGTAATGCTCATTGTAGTAGAGACTTTGTAAGTGCAGATACAACTATAGTAACGCCATTGGACTATACTGTTGTCAGACACCTTCGAATATCACTCACACTAATAGTACTTGCTCGATAATACTCACTCAAATAATAATCCATGTAGGGATCCTTTAGATGACACACCAATTCCCATGTATACATTTCCTTTACCATCATGTGATCAATTTATTCAAAATGGGATTGACTGTGTTTGCTCTCTGGTGATTTGTGTTCAAACTCGAGTGTCAGCAGTGACACTTTATTCCAATATAATAATTTTGAAATGATTTTAAAAAAAAAAAAAAAAAATTGTGTTGGGTTGATTTATTTTCCTGAATAAATGCAACTTTAATTTTTTTTCTACTCTGGCAAAGTCTGGTGAATATTCATAATTTTAAGAATTTTTCTCCACCTTTTTTTATTTCCTTCCATATATTTTTATGAACTTATTTTCATTTTTTTTTTTTTTTTTTTTAAATTAAATACTACTGTAATTATATAACTTTTGATATATTTATTCGATTGGGAATATCAACATGTTCTTATATATTTTAAATACTTGAAAATTATAGTAATAATTTTTTTCTTCATTTTAGCCCCCAGCTCCTAAAAGAAAGATGCGCACCATCTGTCCATCAGTTCCAAAGAATGCTCCAAAGGAAGCAACCACATTGCTTGTTCGAGAATGTCTTAAGACCTACAGCAGTGATTGTCACATGATATATTTCAAATACAGTGGATACTCGGGAAGTTATCAGCAGTTGCCAAAGTGAGTTGATCAAAATTTCTTTTTTGTTTAATTTTAAAGAATTTCACTAGAATTTTAGAAATTTTAGTCCACCCTTTAAAGTATTTATCTGGTGGGATTGGTGAATATTTATTTCAATTTGTTTGTTTTACACATAACTGGATTTTGAGCAAGAAATCATCAGATTGTATATAAGCTAGACAATATTTCTTACCAGAATATTTTTTCTTTTACATTTTTATGAGTTTACTATTCATTGTGCATTGAATATTGTTACCACATTTGCTTTGGTATTTCTGCTATTTATCTAGAAATTCTTGACAAAATCTGAAGAAGAATCTGAAATGTTACTGCACTAATTTAAGTACAGTACTAGATTGGCAGTTAGATCTTGCTAAATGTAACCATAAGTTCTATTCTAATGATCTCTTCTCACCTGTAAAAGTCTCTTTTTTTCACTTTACTGTCAATCTTAAAAAATTTAGATTCATCGTCAATCATTGTCTTCTGTCTCCTTAAATTCCATTCTTTTATTGCCGTTTCTCCTCAATAAGGTTTCTTTCTCTTTAAGTAATCCCTTGCATCTTTGTGGCTTTATTACATTGCTTTGGGTGAAATGATTAAAAAAAAAAAAAAATTAAAATAAACCAAGGTCATCTTGTTTACAAATTTTGAGAAGAAGAAAAAGTTGTATTATATTGCATATAGGTAGTATTATACCAAAAGATAATCCATATTTAATTTAATCTAAGTTTAACTTAAAAGATTAAGAAATAAAACATTTCCTTATATCTAAGTTAATCCTTAAAATGATGTATTAAATCAGCTTTATGTTCATGAGTTTAAAAAAAAATAAGGCAGCACCCCTTTGTGAACAATTTGTCTGAGTTAAGCATTAAATGCAAAAAAAACATGGTGGACTGTGATGACAAGTAATTGTATACATAACTTGAAAGTATTAAACCTGTTGCAATATTTAATTAGTTGGATGCTGCTCCAATTAGTGTCACTTACTGCCATTGATATATACAATGAACTTAGTTTTATCTCTGCTATGTATCTGCAAAATGTATGTTTGCATATTAATAGCCTGTTTAGGTAAAACATTTTGGGAATAACCAGATTTGAGAAATTCTAAGAAGATTTATGCTAAAAATATTTTACCTAAGCAATCAACATGTTTCCGATATATTGATGACACTATTAATACGTACCTGCAAAATCAAAGTAATAGCCTCTTTCTTTTCCTTGTATATGCTGTGCCCCTTCAGGATGTTGGCAATCATGGCTCTCCACAATTTCCTATCCTTTGTAACTTTTGTCTTTTTGCTATCTTTTCCAAACTCTGCTCCACAATCCATTCACTCAAGCTTGCCAGGTAGATTGTGCATTACTTACTTTTAATCTGTCTTGTGAGTATCAAATATTTTAAGCCCTCTTTCCTCATTATGTGCCCCAGAAATTTCAATTGGCTCTTCCTGATGCTAAATATAAGTGTCCTTTTGAAAAGTTTTTAATGCTTAAGCCAACATACACTAGTATTAAAGGATTTGTGATACTGGGTTATTAAGATGTTTAAAATCTGAAAAAGATATCTTTATTTTGCATCTCGTTACTGTTAAATTATTGATAATTTGTGAAGAGTTTTGCTACATTGGTGTTATTCAATGGTGGCCTGTAAAGGAAGTAAAAAGATTCTTGCTTATCAATACATTTTTATAAAGTTCAAATTATTCTTACTCATTTAGTCAAAGAGACTTGGCATTGCTGTATTGTTAATAAACATAATCAGTGAATGAAGATAACTAGTTTATGCCCTTGAGGTAGAAAAGGCAGAGTTTACAAAGGAAGACATCCACCATTTTGAATTTAAGTTGGACTATGTGTTGCTATTAGTGAAATGTTTTATTGAAGGATAATATATATGACTGGGTTGTTGAATTTGAGAGAGGAAACACGTTTGTATGGTTTGTTAATATTTAACTTTTTAAAAGTCACACTAATCACTAACATGTCTAATGAAATATCTAGATAAGCTTTACATTTTTATAAATGGATATCATTTTATAAGGAATGACTGATAAATCAAGATAGTGACAAAATTCACCAGGTTTTGCAAGATTGCAAACATCAACTGGTTGGAAAATTGTCCAAATATTAATATTTAGTCAGTTTAATGTAGCACAATGCCACCAATGAGGACCACCAAGGGAGGATTAAATTCATGCCTTAAGTAATAATCTGTGACACTAGTATTATGTAATTCAGTTAAAAACTTTAAAAATAAATGAATCAAACATGTGCATGGGATTATATATATGTGTGTGTATTTATATGTGTGTGTGTGTGTGTATATATACTATTTCCTTGTAATAAAAATGTGCGTGTGCTTGCTAGTATGTGTATATATGTATGGATATAAATATATATATATATATATATATATATATATATATATATATATATATATAGGAACAGTGGATAGTGGCTCAGTTTGAGGAATCTGAGACACAAATTCAAATTCAGTCGAATCCATTACATTCCTTACATGCTAATACTCTTGGAAAGGTATTAATCCTCTTCTTCTCCCTCCAGCTATGGGTAAATAGCCGGACAGACTGGGTTCTATAGCCTTGGATGGCAACTGGTCTAGGAGAAAGACAACTCTGAATTCAAAACCTGCGGAGGGTCGTTTGGGGACCTTGTGGCACGTAGTGCACCAGGTCTCTGTATTTGGCCCTTCAAAAAGTGAAGTTGGTTCTGCTAAAAACCTTCACCACTAAAATCAAATCATATGTGTTGGTAACTGGACTGTCAGCTCCTAGAAACTGAGCTGCTTGACCCTTATACGTTGAATATAATGGGAGAGTCCACCATATATGTGCACATGCACACAAAAATAAAAATGGAGAACGGTTTAAAAAGATAAAAAGGGCATAAAAAGATAAGAACAAAAACCTTGTTCCTTTACCTTTTTCTGAGTAATCCTAATTGTTTTATTACCTGTTCAGCAAAGGAATATTTTTCTGCCAGTGCAGAGAGTAATTTGGATTACTGCCACACATGAAAGACAATGACAACATAAGAAAACATAAGAAAAATTAATTCCTTTAAATAATATGTGGAAATAACCATTCTTCGCCTGATGAGGGTCAATAGACTCAAAACCTATGTAGCAAAAATATGGAAAATAATGTATGATATATAAAAAAAATCATATTATAACCAAAAACATTTGCCACTTCTCTTTAAAAAATATATATATATATATATATATATATAACCTAATAACCTGTGCAAAAATTAATTAATCCACAAAACAGGTTTTCTACAGTAAACTAAATGATAAAAAACAAACTCTTATTAAAAACTTTCTTAAATATATTGTTGAACAAATAAGATGCTCCATCAGAGATTTTTACACTAAACAAATAGAATATAGTACTACTTCAACTAACCCCAAACATATCAACCCTTTATATTGCAACCACATATATTCTAATTATAAACAAGATGAAAATATCAAAAAAAAAAATTAATAAAAACTAATATATCTAGTACAGATCCTAGTAAAAAAAATAAAATTATATACTACACTAAATCTACTATATCTAATACAATCATTCGTAATAACTCTTCTCCGCCCACTAATGTGTTGCAGAAAACCAGCATAGTTTATAAATTTAAATGTCCTCTGAGAGATTATATCTCTCATGGTAAAAATAATATTTATGTTGGATAAACTACAACAACATTGTCATGAGAGCTAAGTTTTCATTTGAATAATATGTCCAACATTTGTAAACATTTACAACAACATGCCTGTTCACATTCGCAAATCAAAAAAAAAAATCCTTGTTAAAAATACCTTTATACTTTCTTGTGAAAAGAATAAACATAAACTAAAAATTCTCAAAGCTATCTATATTAAAAAAATTGAAACCAAACCTTAATAAAATTATGAATACTCCACAAATGCTTTAAAATGTGTACAATAGATAGTTTGAAATGGTAAGGTTTGCACTAATAGTTTTTCTTCTTACTACTCATTTCATAAAAAACACCATACTTAGTTACCCCTCCCTTCTTAAATGGTTTCAGCAGTCACATACTGACACAGCATTCCTCACTCCACTTGTAAGAAATTTAACTTTCAAATAACACAACAATTTTGTCTTTGACAATAATGAACTCTACAATATTTATTTTGTAATAAACAATACCCTAACAATAACATTGCTATGTCAAAAGTACTTGGAAATAAGAAATATGTATCAACACAGTTATTTTCTCTCGTCCTTCAATAATGACACCAAAAAGCTTATCTGTGAATATGAAAGGATCCTATTGAAAATAAATAGACAGAAGAAGTCTAAATTATTCAATGAATCATGTCTCATATATATGTGTATTTATGTATAAAATATATAATTCATCTATACTTTGAATATTGCTGCCACATCTGGTCTGCTCTGGCTACAGATTCTTGATAAAATCCAGATTTGAATATTGGTCCTGACCTGCAATCTTAGCTTCATTCACTTTCTCACCACCATAACGTATCTTCCTTATGCCTTTTCTATAAATACTTTCATGATTATTGTTCCTATGAATCTTCCTCTATTGTACCTAGACGTGACGAATTTAAGCACAGAACTAGATTAGTGGCAAAGTCTCATTAATTTATGGTTGAAATGATGTAACTAAGTTCTGTATTAACAGTTTCTTCTGTTTTATTTTTCACTTGTGGAACTCTTCTGGCTTCTTGCTTACCAGTCAACTTTGATCTTCAAAAATGTAAATGCCATGTTAATCATTATCTTCTGTCTTCTTAATACCTATTCTTTTATTGTTTTTTTCTCCTTAGTAGTTTTTTTTTTCTTCTCATATTCTCTAACACTCAGTAACCCTTTGTGTCTTAGTGACTTTATAGCCTTGCTTAGGATGAAATGATTAAAAATATATAACATAGTTCTGAAAAGAAGAGAAATATATATTTATGTGATTAGTTTTTGTACATG